TATAATCCCCAAGCTTAAAGAAAGTGTCAATTACATATGTACTGCTGGATATATTTAACTATTCATACATTATCATGGAAGAGACAGCTAATCATTATTCATGTAGGACAGGAAAGCACCAATCATCAGTATCCAATTATATACATGAAATACAGAAATAACACTGAATGCATTGGTTACATACTTCACTTTCTACAAAAAGTTTAAAGCTTCGATACATTTGACAGATTACACTGAGGATCCTGTAAGATGGAGAGTGCTGCAAATAAAGACCCAGAAGGTCACTGACGATCAATAATTTACAAGTGTCTTTCAAGGACTTCAGTATTTAGAATACAGCATTTTGGTGATGCTTACTTATAGTTTCGTTTAGGTAAATCAGACCAGTTTTTTTCTAATGAACCTGATCGACAACACACTTAGAATATGGGAGTGCATGATCTAGATTTTGAAATGCACCAGGTATTGGGAAACCCATTTTTTTATAGCTCGGAGCATGTTAATGTTTTGAAACAGACTACCATGTAAATAATTTGCACATAAAGTTGATGTCTGCAAGTCACCTGGTAGGTGTTGTAATTTTCTGATTTTGTCAAGCATTTATAGTTCAAGCATTTTACATTAGCTTTTTTTCACACAACACATTTGTCTCCTGTAATTGGATGATTTCAACTGCAATAAAAGAAAATATATTTTTAGAGTTGTGCATTATTACTGACAAACTTTTTTTTTCTTGTTTTTGGTGGTATGTACCAAAGGAGATTTTTAATAATACCAGTACTTCAACAATTTCTATTAGCAAATAATCTAATCTAGTTGCATATTTAATGACAGTAAAAGGAAGTTTTATTTTCTCCTGACAAGACAAGTCAATTATTTAAAGCTTTACAAAACAGCTGCATCTGTCCCCATGCTAAGTTTTATTACTACAAAATAATTAAATTTATGAACCTTGAATCATATGATTTCAGTTTTTGTCCCGAGTCACTTATGAAAACATGACTGTCGAATGGTGTATGGTTGTGCAGGATATTTTGACCAATTCCAACATTTAGGATTATTTTGGATTAAAGAAAACAAACAAATCTAATTTTCAGATTTTTTTAGCAGCCTTTAAGTACATGCATTCCTTCATAAAACTGCGAATTACCTGAAGACTTTAATTTTAGGTTCTTTCTCTAGTCAATTAAGTATTATTGGGTTTGCACAGGCAGCATGTTTACTTTGGTCACTCTCCCTCTCTTATAAATATCATTCTGTCATGTTGGCTTAGGTGTCAGCATCGTGTCTATTATATCTATGACTATTATATATATGACTTGTGTTCGGATGACAAGGTATGCAGCAATGAACATACACTTGCTTAATTTGTCTATGGAAACATAATTTTGGTATACAATAGTATATACTACAGTATGTACAGAAATACCAGTGCATATTTTCCAATACAGATATTCTGTGGAACCCAACTTCATTTTTTTCATTTCGGTTTTACATAAGTCTCTAAGTATAAAAAAAAAAAACATTTATAAGTACTAAGGATAACTGTATACAAAGACTGTTCAAATAATTCAGTGACCACACACAAATCAAATTATAAATGTCATTTTATTAAGTAACATCTATTACCTGATAAAATTTATGTCTCAACCTGCTTGTAGTACCACTGATAACATGCACCAAATTAACCTTATTTATCAAATTACATGCCACTGCTTGATAATAAAACACAGCCCCCCCCTTTTTCAAAATTTTGGCAAATATTCACATGTGATACCTTTGGTGATAAGCTCAACTACTATTTTTTTTTACATATAAATTAAGCTACACCACCTGTTTTATCATGAGAGGAACAATGCAGCCACTCCCTGTTCTAAGGAACAACACCTTTATTTGCACCTATCTGGTTTTACCTGTAAGCCCTAATTGAAAAAATAATGATAAAAAGTGTTATTACCTCTGTAAGGTATCCATAACACTTGTTTGAGGGAAAAGCTGACTTGGCTATGCACATAAATATGATGCCATTCTCCACCAAACAGTGCCACTTGTTACTGGAATAGAAGATACAAATCTAACGTTAGCTTGCACAGGATCAGACATTCCATAATTCTAAAAAAAATCCCCCCAATGTGGTAAGATAAAAAGTAGTAAGTTACATCAATGTTAATACTTAGTATATCTATAGGTCTTGTTAATTTCAATCTAGCTAATCATGACTCATTTAAAAACATTCTTGACTGTAATTTGTTGTAGATTAATTATGGACACTGATTTCATTGATATGACAGTTGGTAAAAACAGAAGTCATTAAGCCAACTTCACAGGGTACAAAATGTGTAGATGAACAAATGCACAATGTATATTATATTTGGGCATGTTAACCAAACAATATCAGCCAAAGGTGCACTGTGCAATCAGGTTTTGAAATCTGCTGATGCATTGTGCACCCAAGCAAAATAGTTATGTTTTGAACCTTGCTTACCCTATAAATACTATATGGACTCCCAAGCTCTTGGTTTCAATACTGCTATTGAAGAACCTGTATAATGAGAGACCACCCCTTTCCACCAACAAAATCTCATCTCTCGAGACAAGTCATGATCTCACAATGGAGTTCATATCTATAAATAATTGATCTGTTTGTGATCATCAACCTATACATATATGTTGTTTAAAAAATTAAATCCTTACGGGGAATTAGTAATGGTGTACTTTTCCCCGTACTTTTCCATGCGCATGTAATGTGCACAAGAAAGGGCACACCAAACTATTTACTGGATTGCTTGGACCCTTAGCTGTGTAACAATACAAAATTTAAGAAGCAAATCATTCCAATATAACAATGTGTGTGTGTGTGTGTGTGTGTGTTTATGTGTGCATGTGTGAAATTAAAAATTTGGATGATGGTGTTTGCTGTTACCAACATTTTCAACACATGTCATGTATGATTTTTTTTCTGGTTTTTATTTTTAATGTAGTTTTAAAAAAATTCAGTCATATTGATATAATATCTGCATTGTAACAGTTTATAGCGATGTCTAGCACTATTACATCATTCCATGTAAGCCCAACCAGCAACATTATCCTGACACCATGCCGTCCAGTCCTAACACTAACCTCTTGATGCCTGAGTGCCAAGTGAGGCAGCTGTTAGTAACATTTTTTTAAAGTCTTTGGTATGACTTGCAGGGGTTCAAACATGCGACTTCCTGCAAATGAGGTGGATGCTCTAACCACTTAGGCCACCAGAGATGTCAATCTAACAATATTAAGCCAGACTTAAATTAAAGCCATATTGCTGTATCATTGATGACAATGTGAGCCCAAACTAAGGTTTTATTGGAGAGGTCTTATGCAGATCTGTTATCACATTATGTAATGGCAGATCTGGGACTACATTGCTGAAACTCCTTTCTAGATCTGTTGGTACATTATTTAATAGCAGATATGGGACTACACTGTTTGAAGTCCTGTCCAGAACTATTGGCACATTATATAATGGAATATCTGGGACTACACTGTTAGAAGTTTTGTCTAGATCTGTTGGTACACTGTATAATGGCAGATCTGGGACTACTGTTGAAATTATGGTGCAGCTTATACAGAGCTCTCTGTAGGCATCTGACACTAAGTCCAGGACACTCAGTCTCCAGGAAGTCTAGGTCTTGATATGAAAACAAGACAATCTAGTTGAGAATGGAGGAAGGAATTACTGGGTTTAGAATTGTTATATTGATGGCAAATTAATACAATTTGGCCATAATAAATATTACTGATTAAAATTATTGCAATCTTTAAGTTTCATATACATGTATATTTGTATTGTACTAATTACTACTGTAAATATGATAATTCTTTATTTAATTTATAAATTTTTATTACATTCACTTCTGTAAATATTAGAACTCTTTAATATTTTTTGATGTAATTAATTTTTCTTGCCATGTAAGCCTTCTTATATGTAACTGATTTCGGAAAATGTACCTCAACTGGATTCTGAATTTCTTAAAACAGAGGTACTCAGCTAATTTCTGGGTACCCTCAGGAAAAGACTTAAAATAGTGACAGTCCTAGACTCACATTTTAAGGTTATGCATTAGAAGTGCTTACAGAAAGGCCTGATTATTCTTCTGTATTCTTATTCATGCAATAAATATTACTGCAGGAACAAGAGTTGACTCTTCTATGAGAGTTTGTTTAATGTGATATTTATTAATGTAATGGATATTGTTGGACTAATATTAGTAGTTTGTGAATCAACATACCCACTTGCTGAGAATGTTTTCTTGCCATCATTTCTGGTTGGTATGCTTGGTATAACAGATACAGCTGCTTTGTCATAATCGGATGAAGAGTCAAGTGACTGGCTGCTGAGAATCGTGGATCCCCTTGCAATACAACTGTACAGGATTGTCATCTGAAAAACAGGAAAATACCATAAATCACGATATTTTTATTTCATCAAGCTTTTGCAAATTTAAAACATTTAACATCTGACAACATTTTCACAAAGTGATAATGGATTATGCGGTAACTACAAAGATATTTGTTTCAAACAATGAATAATGAATATATTTCATCAAGCGGGTCAAAAACTCATGAGAAGAAATATATCCATTATTTTCTTGTAGCAAGCAAATTTTCTTTTTATTTTATACTCCAATGCATTGGCTAACAAGATGTTCCATATAACATATTGCATTTTATACTCAAACACATTGGCTAACAAGATGTCCAGTATAACAGATTGTGTGTGTGGGTAGCGTTTTGGATTTTTAATTTAGCTTTAACAATTTTACAGTCATATCACTATGATATCTACAGTGTGGCAGTTCATAATGATGTCTAGCACTGGAGAATCATGCCACAGACATAGAGCATTATGTCCCACCCAGTCACATTATCCTGACACCAGGCCGACCAGTCCTAACACTAACCTCTTAATGCTTAGCACCATGTGAGGCAGCTGCTAGTACCATTGCTATAAGTCTTTGGTACAACTCTGCCAGGGTTTGAACCTGCAACCTCCTGCATCTGAGGCAGATGCTCAAACCACTTTCTGAAGTAGCAGATTTTTTACTGGATTCAACACGATGCCAGCAGTTTACAGTTATGTTTTTCTGGGTCTTGCAATTATTCACACAGAAAATATAAACAGTTGCATAAATGTCCATCGCAATTCAAAGTAAAATAGCACATTAAGGAAAAAAAATAGAGCCTTCTTGCCATTATGACCATTCAGCCACATAAGGATATAAAAACTTCTTGGTAATCTTGATATCAACTCGGCAGTGAAATTATTTATTGTATTTTACTCCAATGAATTATCACAATTATTTTTCCTGAAAAATCCAGTAATTATTGGCATAGAGCAAAATAATATATTATCATATTGTCCATGAAAAAAGCCACACAAGTAAAAAGTCTCATTGGTATTGTTATACTCTATGGCTTCTATGTACTCAATTATAGTGAGATGGTTACATGTGTAACGTATTATGCACTTCACTATAAGGCATTATACTCTATGGCTTCTATGGGTTGTGTTATAGTGAGAGGGTAGTGTATGTGTCATGCATTATAAGGCATTAACTCTATGGTTTCAATGGAGTGTATTATAGTGAGAGGGTAGTGTATGTATTATGTACTCCACCACAAGGCATTATATTCTATGGCTTCTATGGACTGTGTTATAGTGAGAGTGTAGTTTATGTATTATGTACTTCACTATCAGGCATTATAATCTATGCTTCTATGAACTGGGAGTGAAAATTTCTAAAAACCTTACTCATTATTGCAAAAGAAATTAAATGTTGATAAAACGTAATAAAATAGACAAGAGAATTTAGTAATACTTAAGGTACGGGAAGTGCAGAAATTTGATTCATCTTCTTTTGCCCCCTTTCTGAAGAGAGTTATGATTTTAGCAGATGTACATTTAAGGTTTTTACAGCATATTTCATAATGGAGGCAGTGCTTTGATTTGCATTTCAGTACTGTCTAAGCCATTATATCTATTTAGACTCAATGGATTTAAATAATTTTAGTATATCTTTGTATTTTGAAGCCTGATACCTCTGATCATTTGACAAACTCTCAGTATTTCTTTGATAAAACATTACTGGGATTATTACTCACTTCAATATATTCTGTAACTACACTGACAAAAAAACTTACGAATATTTCCTTTTTCTTTGTGTCTGTATTTTTTTTTAATTACCTAGTTTCTGTTTATATTGTTTCACACTTTTTAATTGGGTAGTCTCAGATTAGCAAATTAACAGTGTTACGACTAGAAAGAAATACAGGGATGCTTCCTTATTCGCCTTCAGTACTCTCCTGTCTGCCCTACGTGCTTCCTTCGCCCATCCCCGTTTTCTTTGTATTTCGCTGATTTTTATATTTATCTAATGTAGAAAGGATACATATTTCAATTTGCAACAAGAAGGCATTTTACATATAACTATCTGCATGAAGTCCTTTTTATCACAAAATGCCCCTTTTTCTTCTTTACACAGAGTGCTCCTTTATTAAACAAACTTGCCCGTAGGTGTCTGCTACGCCACTTTATTCGTAAAAGTGTATATTTCCTCGAGAACAAAACAGAATAAAATCCAATAACAATCTTTAACTTAAATGGCATTGATAAGCATCGCTTGCTTTTTTACTTAAAAAAAACATAAGTGCATGTAATCTATTGGTACCATTATATCTCACCCAACATTAAGCTAAAAATATAGAACTTCCTTCTAAAAACAAAAACTTTCTCACCTCAGCTGACGATGTTACAATCCCCTTTATTTACGACACAAATCAACAGTATAGAAGATAGCTCAATGATACAATGATAGTTTGGTTAAAGGAATGGAGTACTTGATACTTCAGATCATCTCCTCGACATCACAGCAGCGAGAACAATCGACAACAATCAACAACCATTTGTTATGTTAGTTAACACCTGTTACGTATGAACAACAAGGGGGCGTGATCTAGGCTACAGGTACACGTTTTTCCTATTAGTTTCGGATTACTCGGCTGTCTTCACATTTGCGTTATAATTCTTGAGTCAAGTGATACTTGACCAATAAAAAGAAAGCGTTCCGACGTATAGCGGCAAAGAGGATTGGCAGACGAAATGGTTTGTACGGCGTTTAGTCGGTGATTTTACCACAGATGGCTTGACAATTGATGCCGTGATATCTACTTTTTAAAATAAAAACATTAATATCTTCGGCGGTATGAAATATGATTAGTTTTAATATGTTCCATAAGTAATGCAGAATTATACGCCTTTGCACCTGCACTAAAATTTACCATACTATCATGGTCATCTTCAGCGTTACTTCATAGTTAATAAACGTTTATTAGCTCATAAAGATTACGTGTAGTTCTGTAGAAAATTAAATTTCTTAAATATTATGATCATTATTTGACAGTAATGAAAATTAATTTGGCTGCATATAATTGTTAGATCCAAGCTAAAAGTAAGAAAATTTGTGCACTACAAGTAGCTATGTCCCGGCCAAGGTACTTGAAATATTTTTTTTTTTTTTTGTATTTTCAACGAGAAATCTGCTTTCTTTCTTTTGTTGGCCTCAGATTATGAAATTATTTTATTTTTATGTTATGTCAAGAGGAGATCAAAAGTAAATACATAAAATCAGCACAAATAGAATTTTACAAATTAAAACTTGACTATCAGTAGATTTTTCTTCAGCCGAGGGCAGTTATGACGTGCCCAAAATGAAAATAATTTTTATAAGACCATATATTTAAAAAGATGCCTTGATATTCATCCATTTGATCAAGTGAACATAAAAGGGGATGAAAACATCTGATGTACATTAATTTGAGCTAAATTTTCTTGTGTTGTGCATTATAATTTACCATAATTTGATTTATTCAAAAATTAAAGCATAACCAGGAAAATAAAGCAATCTTAATATGTGTTACTCTTCATTTTCACAATTTTATGTATCATTGTACCTGAAAACATAGTAAATTAAAAGTTGAGAATTCCCATGATGGTGAAAGGTTAAATCTGTGCTCAAAATATGATAGGTTGGCACTAGCTGTTGCCAAAAAATTAACTCAAAAGTTTTAACTTTTAGGTTGGCTATCTGTTCAGATCATATATTGTTATGAGTATATGCTCTTAAAATAAGAAACAAAAAAGAGTGAAGACAACAAGCTTTGTAAATTTTAACAAATAATTTATTTCCCAAACATATAAAGTGAAACATTAAGAAAAAGAACTGTTTTACAAATTAAAACAAAAAATAATCCAAGAATTAAAAACTAGAAGTCCTTGTAATAAAAAGTCCTGAATGAAACTGAGTTCAAGTCCTGATGAAACCCGAAATTTGAAGGTGATGACATCTGGTGTGGTCAGCAGAGTGCTGCAGTGTCAACAGTCTCTTGTTGAATCACAGAAAATATTTCAGTTTTTAATTTGGTATAAATTCCAATGAATGTCTTTATTGAAGAATTTTTTTCAGAGCACTTTTGTATTTCCAGGGAAAATAATCACTTGAATTTAATAATTTGAAGAAAATATAATTCAACCCAAACTGGTCACAACATAGTACAACTTATTGTGCCAAGTGTTTTAAGCCCAGTTGACAAACTTTTATCAGAACATCAGTTATAGGACTAATTAAGATGCAAAACAGATTCCCATATGAGAGTCAAAAGTTCATTTTTTGGAAAAAAGAGAAGTTTGTTACCAATTTAATTATGCTTAAAGTCACATAGTCCAGGTATGACCTTCATTCAGCTCAATGATTCTTACTCTGAGAAAGATAAAACAAATTTAAAAAATTGTTTATCAAAACCATAACTGATTTTGAAACCAGGTCAGCAACTAGATAGAATGTTTATATTATTAGTTGTACAGAAAAGTCAGTCGGGTCAAACAAAACTGAACTCAACTTTTTGGACAATGTCAAATCCAGTGAACAATGTTAAATTACAATAGCATGTAATGGAATTAAAAAAAAATTTCAAACAAACAACTAAACATTCATAATATCAAGTAATTGAAAAGTTATGCAAAAGTTTTCCTGTGTGCTGATTTTGTTTTAAAAGTTTAGATACTTTTATTGTTTAACATATTTTGAAGAGTGTACTGTAACATTGATGTCATTAACTGTGTCTACAATGTTAGAATTGTACCATCAGGCATATATAACAAACCTGATGCACTTAATTCAAAAGTCAATTTCAGGCAAGGTGCATTGGTAAAAAGTTTGAAAATCATATTTTAAAAGGCTTAAAATATTGCTTTTCAAACAATGTATGTTTTGGGTGCATATTTTGCAGATTGAACATCAAATGCAGTTTGAACACATCAGCTTTCAGTTAATGTTCAAAATCTATGCTAAAATTAGAATTGGGCCAGATACAGAAGATTTTGGGTATCCGCTTTGCATAAATACCCAGAATTCTGTTCAAGAAGCGGTCATGTGTATATAAATTTTGGTGAAAAATAGACTTTTTTTAAAACCAGATCAAATGCCATGTAAAAAATCTGTTGAGAGTTATTCCCCTTTGGCTTGAGCATATCTACGTTAAGGATTTTGTTTCCTTCTTGGACATTATATCATGTATTTTGGCCATATGAGTTAAGACGAGGACTGTAGATGCTATATATTTTAATTCCGACTAATATGAGTACTATAATGTATTGATGTAATTGAACATAGTTATAAATAGTCAAGAGCAGAATAATCAATTTAAGTTTTCCTCTTTTAAAAGTTCATTTTATTTGATTTAGAATAACATATCCAAATTTTATTTTGAATTTACCCATAATGCATGCATTTGTTAAAATACAGGTTCTTGTCCACAACATCAGTGTTTGAATGGATGAGCACTATGGCATGAAGACACCTTTACATATGCTTTCATGTACCTATAAAGGTTGGGACAAAATTATTTGGAAAAGTTTTCAAGTTTGTTATTTTCTGGTGAAGATTTTAAGAGCAGCAGAAAATGAAATTGCATGTTTATGATAATAATAGTTCATGTAATAATAATGACTTTATTTAAAGAAACTCATTTGGTCAACTGACCA